ACTTTTTAACAGCACTGTGTGTGTATATATACTGTACATATAAATACAGATGAAGTCTGAAGTATACATACACCTTAGCCAAATACATTAAACTCAATTTTTCACAATTCCTGACATTTAATCCCTGTTTTAGGTCAGTTAGGATCACCACTTTATTTTAAGAATGTGAAATGTCAGAATAATAGTACATTTATTTCAGCTTTTATTTCTTTCATCACATTCCCAGTGGGTCAGAAGTTTACATACACTCAATTAGTATTTGGTAGCATTGCCTTTAAATTGTTTAACTTGGTTCAAACGTTTCGGGTAGCCTTCCACAAGCTTCCCACAATAAGTTGGGTGAATTTTGGCCCATTCCTCCTGACAGAGCTGATGTAACTGAGTTAGGTTTGTAGGCCTCCTTGCTCGCACACGCTTTTTCTTTTCTAGCCATAAATGTTCTATAGGATTGAGGTCAGGGCTTTGTGATGGCCACTCCAATACCTTGACTTTGTTGTCCTTAAGCCATTTTGCCACAACTTTGGAAGTATGCTTGGGGTCATTGTCCATTTGGAATACCCATTTGTGACCAAGCTTTAACTTCCTGACTGATGTCTTGAGATGTTGCTTCAATATATCCACATAATTTCCCTTCCTCATGATACCATCTATTTTGTGAAGTGCACCTGTCCCTCCTGGAGCAAAGCACCCCACAGCATGATGCTGCCACCCCCGTACTTCACGGTTGGGATTGTGTTCTTCGGCTTGCAAGCGCACCCCCTTTTTCCTCCAAACATAACGATGGTCATTATGGCCAAACAGTTATATTTTTGTTTAATCAGACCAGAGGACATTTCTCCAAAAAGTACGATCTTTGTCCCCATGTGCAGTTGCAAACCGTAGTCTGGCTTTTTATGGCGGTTTTGGAGCAGTGGCTTCTTCCTTGCTGAGCGGCCTTTCAGGTTATGTCGATATAGGACTCGTTTTACTGTGGATATAGATACTTTTGTACCTGTTTCCTCCAGCACCTTCACAAGGTCCTTTGCTGTTGTTCTGGGATTGATTTGCACTTTCTGCACCGAAATACGTTCATCTCTAGGAGATAGAACGCGTCTCCTTCCTGAGTGGTATGACGGCTGCGTGGTCCCATGGTGTTTATACTTGCGTACTATTGTTTGTACAGATGAACAAGGTACTTTCAGCCGTTTGGAAATTGCTCCTACGGATGAACCAGACTTGTGGAGGTCTACAATTATTTTTCTGAGGTCTTGGCTGATTTCTTTTGATTTTCCCATGATGTCAAGCAAAGAGGCACTGAGTTTGAAGGTAGGCCTTGAAATACATCCACAGGTACACCTCCAATTGACTCAAATGATGTCAATTAGCCTATCAGAAGCTTCTAAAGCCATGACATCATTTTCTGGAATTGTCCAAGCTGTTTAAAAACACAGTCAACTCAGTGTATGTAAACTTCTGACCCACTGGAATTGTGATACAGTGAATTATAAGTGAAATAATCTGTCTGTAAACAATTGTTGGAAAAATTACTTGTCTCATGCACAAAGTAGATGTCCTAACCGACTTGCCAAAACTATAGTTTGTTAACAAGAAATTTGTGGAGTGGTTGAAAAACGAGTTTTAATGACTCCAACCTAAGTGTATGTAAACTTCCGACTTCAACTGTAGATATTCCATAAAAAATCAGTTGTTTCCAGCTACAATAGCCATTTACAACATTAACAATGTCTACACTGTATTTCTGATCAATTTGATGTTATTTTAAAGGACAAGAAATGTGCTTTTCTTTCGAAAACATGGACATTTCTATGTGACCCCAAACTTTTGAACGATAGTATATATATATATATTATCCAATCAAGCCGAATCAAGGATTACTTGATTAATCATCTCCTAATATGGTAATATGCAAATGTTTGAGTTCTAAAAATCCAATGACATGGCAGCTAATGATAATATTGTGTATAATTATTATAACAATACTTATTATAAGAAAAACATTTCCCAAAATGGAACATTTATTATATGATGTGGCTGACATTGACATATGGTCTAAAACTGGCACAAAACATTCAGACAACACATTTAAATCTCTCCAAATTGAATACAGTAGTTTTGGAATTTAATCATGAACAAAAACAAAAGATTTGGGGGTTATAATGGTTCCGATCATCTAAGTTTTGTGTAGCACCCATAATTCACTGCTTTAATATCCCATAAACAAGTCAAGTTGCTATTGACATCCCCGCTGTGCATGTGGCATCTGTGATAATTCTCTGTCACCTAAAATAAGTCCTGCAGCAGTTTTGTGGAGCATTGTTGTATTAAATTAACTGGAGGGCAGCCAGAAACATAAACTGACAGAGTGAATATGGAGGACAGGCATTTTACTCTGTTCTACACAGCCATGTTAATGGACTTCTATTGTTGCAGTAATGAAAACATAATACTGTGCTGCAGTAAGAGAGAAAGGGAGATGTCCTGGACCCGGGACACTACACACTGAGAGACAACCAGCAGGATGAAGTTGACCCTGGACACTGATCCAAGGTCAGTTTTATGTTTTCCCTCCCTAATGGTAACGTATTTGAGGGAGGGTATTAAATCTGATCCTAGATCTGTATCTATAGGGCTATGCTAACTTCTACCCAACGGCAGAGAGAAACAGTGCAGACAGTGTTCAGTTCAGAGAAGAGACTGAACCTCCACCGTCATCATCACTGCTTTTAATTCCCGCATTAGAGACGATCGATAAGCCAATCAATTAGAATCAGTTAGACTCATCTCTGATGGAGGTTATACCAGCATAGCATATTTTAACTCAGCAAAGTAATGCATTTGTCTGTCAGACGTCTGCCAGCTGTAACCACAGGCTGCTGACAGCAACACAACCACAGGGAGGCACCTGACTCAGCATGGAGAGGACCTGGACCAGACTCCTGTCTCATATCAGACCCAGAGATGGCTCATGAAGCCATCAACATGGCCAACTTTGCCCGGTCTCCTGACCTAAATGGGACCTTATTTAACCTAAATAAAGGTTAAATTAAAAACGTTCTTTCACATTTTCCTCCCTTGCAAAATATATTTATTTCTCAATGGGATACACCAGATTAAAAAAAGAGATATCATATATCATATTAAATAAAGGATAAATAAATAAATACAAATATATTTTTTGCAAGTTCCTCTGCCTCAAAATGACATGTAATTTCTGGTTTAGGCTTTAGATCAAACATTTCTTGCCACTATAAAATTGACCAAAGTCAGAGCATATATTTATAAAGCCATTTAGGGTGCATCTCAGTATGAGAGATACATACATAAATGAACATAAATGCACCATAAGAAATGACTGGAGCATTATGCAGGCCATGTGGAAGGACAGTGTATTGAAAAAGGCCACAAACAGTGTGATTATGGACACCAAATCTACTATTATACTGAAGGAGAAGAGGAAAGGAGAGGAGGATCGTGGTTATGTACTTATCACGTCCACTAGGTGGTATCTTAGTCAGCTACTGAGTTCATCAACAGAGAATGGAGAACTAATTCTGTCAACAACAAGAACAAGACCAACAAACAACACATTTTTTTATTTGCTTCTTTACAAAGTGCTTCTGAAAGACATCCAAAATACTGACAAAGAAAGTTAATACAGAGTGATAAGTTGCGCTTTTATTAAGTCCATCTCACACTATATTATTCACAGCAAGAGAGAAACCCAGTACACATTTCTCACTTCAGAAATGTGGATCTATTTATTGAAATCAAATCTACTAAACAGCAAGATTTAAATCAGCTTTCACATCTACACAATGTGGTTGCATATTTGCATAAATACACATTTTGTGTTCACTTTGCATAGACCTTTCAGTTTAGGTGACATACATCATAACTACAATGGTTAAATTCCCCATATGTCACTATTCTGACATATTCTAATGAGACCATGTTGCATAATCGCCACCACATTTGTTAGACAATATTTCATGCACACCAACCAAATTGAGGTCTAAATAATATTCCCATCCATTTTATGTTTACACCGGTAACAGATGGAGCTAATGAGAACTTCATTTTCTACAACCTGTTAAACTTCATCCCCAAAAGTACTAGCAGCATTGAAACTGTTAAATATTGTAGATATATCATTTGTTGTATTCTTATTTACTATTCACTAATATTAGTATAAGTTGTAGGTGACCATGACATATTGATCAAATGCACCACAAGCATATCACATTCAAAATTGGAATGGTAAACATTTCTGTAAAACAGTTAATAATAAATAGCCTTAATCTAATTCATAATTCCACTACAAAAACATCAACATCAGCAATATAACAATAAGCTTTACAAAATGTCTCAGAAAACAAAACAAGATAGAAAGATCTTAAATAAGTCACATATACAGCCGCATCGCTTCACACTTACACCCCAACACACACATACACACACACTACATACGTCCACACACACTTAACATTTACACACACACACCCACACACACCCACACACACACTGCTGCTACTGTCTATTATCTATCCGGTTGCCTAGTCACTTTAGTCCTACCTATATGTACAGTACATACACTAGCTACCTCAATTACCTCGTACCCCAGCACATTGACTCGGTACCTTTACTCCTTGTATATAGCCATGTTATTTTTAGTTGTTATTCTCTTATTCGTTATTTACTTTGTATTTATTCCTTGTGTCACTATTCATATTTTGTATTTAATTTTATTTAGTATCTTTAACTCTGCATTGCTGGAAAAGGACCCGTAAGTAAGAATTTCACTGTTAGTCTACACCTGTTGTCTACGAAGCATGTTTTTTATATAATTTTTGTATTTGTTTTTATAACTATATATTGTGCTTCTGTGAAATCTGTATTTTTGCATGTAAATACTATCAAACACTTTAAAACACAGCTGTTTATTCAATTTCATGAAATGTTACTCAGCCTTTATAAGTCTCTTTGATGCTTGAACCTCTGCTCTAGAGAGACCAGGGTTGTGTTCATTATTAGGGCACGTAACGGAAAAAGTCAATTTCAGTCAATTTTCTTCCATTTGGTGCCTAATGAACACGATCCTAACCGGACTGCTTCAGTGAAACAAAAGCTGTCAATCAGTGTCGTCACCAGTCACCGGAATCGATAGCAAAGTCCTCCAGCTCGCTCATGGTGATGATATCACGGTGGGGGGCGGATTTAGTATCATCACTGTCCACTGCGCCCTTGTCCAGCTGGTTGTGTGTGTCGTACGAAGTGTGTGTGTCGTTCACTGTGTGTGTGTCATGCGCAGTGTGTGTGTCATGAGCTGTGTCCATGTAAGGTGTCTGCTCTTGGCTGTAGCTCTGTCCATATGTCTCTCTCTCCATTCTCTCCTCCTGTCCTTCATAGCCCTGGCTGCTCCAGCCCTCTCCTTGCCTCTCTCCATCCTCTGCCCAACCCTGACTCTCCTCTGTAGGCTGTGGGTCCTGGGTGGGAGACACCAAGGCAGACATTCCAGAGAGAGACCTGTGAATGGGCAGGGAGGATACGGGCATGGGCTGGTATCTCTGGGGGTATCCCTGGTAGAGCACATAGGGCCGGCTGGCTGGAGGAGCCTGGGGCTGGGTGTATGTGGCTTCGGGAAGGGACTGGGTATAACACTGTGGCTGGGGCTGAGACAGAGAGCCTCCCTGGGCTGGCTGACGGACATTCAGCTGGACGTACTTCCCCGTCTCTGGGTCAAAGAAGGTCTTGGTCTTCACCTGGACAGGCATGTCCACCACAAAGTACTGACCAGACCCCGGGTCCTGTAGAACCTTCTTCTGGGTTAAACTTTGGGTGAAGTGCTGGGGGATGCTGAGGGAGGGCGGGGAAGGGTAGTTGGGGTCTACGTGATACTGAGGGACATTCAGGCGGGAGGTGAGGGGGGAGGCCAGGGGTGAGACAAGGTGTCTGGGGTGAGCAGGGTGGTGGTGAGTGGGTGAGGAGGGTACACTGGCCGCTTGCGTTGGGACTCGGGGGTGGGAGACAGGGGGTGAGGCATGGGGTGAGGCGAGGGGAAGGAAGACAGGGGCTTTGGCGTGGGGGGAGGCGTGGAAGGATGGGTAATGGGTGGATCCTAAATCAGTTGGAGAAGAGGGGACACTGGAGATGTGAGTTGGGGCGAGGGGCAGGGAGATAGGGGCAGTGAAATGGGGGGAGGCACGAGCGTGACGGTTGGAGGATCGTAGCTCCGAGGGTGAGGAGGGGACACTAGCGACCGCACGGACCGGTTTCTCCACTGGGTCAGCAGTGCTGTCTGTTTCAGTCTTCGACTCTTTCTTTATCCTGCGGGTAGTGAGCCTCTTGGCTCTCCGTAGAGCTTTCTCACTCTTAGGAGGAACACTCGGGGGCTTCCCAAGTGGCCGTCCTATGTCACTGGTAAAACTACAGGCTGAATCTGGCCTGTCATAGCCCCACCTGCTGGCGAACTCAGAGTCGTACAGACCTGAGTACCTGTCGGACCTGAAGTCAGACACGTCGGCTACACTGGTGGCATAACTCTCAGCATCCCCAGACATGTTGCTGATCATTGAGCGAGAGTCATCATCGTCCAGAGCCACATTCCTCCTGGAGTAGCACCTGGAGTAGGGGTATGTGTAGGTGGTCTCTGAGGGGGCGGTGAACTCTTTCGAAGGCTGAGTCTCTCGAATGCGGGGGAGTCGGTGTGACGAGATGGCGGAGTCATGATATACAGGAGTCTCGGCGCTCTCTCTCTGCCTTTCGTGCTCCTCGTCTCCCTTCTCTGATCCGCTCCAGAGGGCTGAGCCCACCCTGAACTCTTCTCCGAAGCTCTTGTGGAAGCGTGGTTTGACTGACTTGGTGAGAGGGGAGCCTCTGAAGGTGTTGTCTTTGACTCTGAACATGGTGGGCTTGCCCCCGAGGCTGGGGGAGGAGGTGTTGGAGCGGGTGGAAGGGGGGGCAGGGGAGGTAGGGAGGTGAGGTCTACCATAGGACTCCCAGTCCTCAGGGTCCCCCCTGCGTGGGGAGGGCTGGGGGGAGAAGAGGGGTATGTCCCTGGGTCTGGTTTGACCCTCAGAGCTGCTGATGGAATAATACTGGAGAGCATCCATCTTCTCCTCCTCTTTCTGTCTCGCCCTCCACTTCTCCTCTTTCTTCTCCTCTTCTCTCTGTCGCTGTGGCTCTCTCCTCTCCTTCTCTTTCCTCTCTTCCTCTTTCTGTCTCTTCATGCTTTCCTCATCTCTTTGTCGCTGTTGCTCTCTCCTCTCCTTCTCTTTCCTCTCCTCTTCTCTCCGTGTCGCCCTCCTCTCTTCCTCCTCTATCTGTTGCTGTTCCTCTCTCCTCTCCTCCTCTTTCTGTCTCACCATCCTCTCCTCTTCTCTCTGTCTCTTCCTCCTCTCCTCCTCCTCTCTGTGTTGCTGTTCCTCTCTCCTCTCCTCCTCTTTCTGTCTCGCCATCCTCTCCCCTTCTCTCTGTTTTGCCCTCCTCTCCTCCTCCTTTCTCTGTTGCTCTCTCCTCTCTTCCTCTTTCAGATTCTCCCCTTTCTGTCTTGCTAGCCTCTCCTCTTCTCTCTGTCTCGCCCTCCTCTCCGCCTCTTTCCTCTCCTCCTCTATCTGTCTCACCCTCCTCTCCTCGTCCTTCTGTCGCTGTTGCTCTCTCCTCTCCTTCTCTTTTCTCTCCTCCTCTCTCTGTACCACCCTCCTCTCCTCCTCTTTCCTCTCCTCCTCTATCTGTCTCACCCTCCTCTCCTCCTCTTTCTTCTCCTCCTCTCTCTGTCGCTGTTGCTCTCTCCTCTCCTCCTCTTTTCTCTCCTCCTCTCTCTGTATCACCCTCCTCTCCTCCTCTTTCTTCTCCTCCTCTCTCTGTCGCTGTTGCTCTCTCCTCTCCTTCTCTTTTCTCTCCTCCTCTCTCTGTATCACCCTCCTCTCCTCCTCTTTCTTCTCCTCCTCTCTCTGTCGCTGTTGCTCTCTCCTCTCCTTCTCTTTTCTCTCCTCCTCTCTCTGTACCACCCTCCTCTCCTCCTCTTTCTTCTCCTCCTCTCTCTGTCGCTGTTGCTCTCTCCTCTCCTTCTCTTTTCTCTCCTCCTCTCTCTGTACCACCCTCCTCTCCTCCTCTTTCTTCTCCTCCTCTCTCTGTCGCTGTTGCTCTCTCCTCTCCTTCTCTTTTCTCTCCTCCTCTCTCTGTACCTCCCTCCTCTCCTCCTCTTTCTTCTCCTCCTCTCTCTGTCGCTGTTGCTCTCTCCTCTCCTTCTCTTTTCTCTCCTCCTCTCTCTGTACCACCCTCCTCTCCTCCTCTTTCTTTTCCTCCTCTCTCTGTCGCTGTTGCTCTCTCCTCTCCTTCTCTTTTCTCTCCTCCTCTCTCTGTACCACCCTCCTCTCCTCCTCTTTCTTCTCCTCCTCTCTCTGTCGCTGTTGCTCTCTCCTCTCCTTCTCTTTTCTCTCCTCCTCTCTCTGTACCACCCTCCTCTCCTCCTCTTTCTTCTCCTCCTCACTCTGTCGCTCACGTCTCTCCTTCTCTTTCCTCTCCTCTTTTTTCTGTCTAGCCATCCTCTCCTCTTCTCTCTGTCTCTTCCTCATCTCCTCCGATTTCTTCTCCTCTCTCCGTCGCTGTTGCTCTCTCCTCTCTTCCTCTTTCCCCTCCTCTTCTTTCTGTCTCGCAATCGCCATCCTCTCCTCGTCTCTCCATCTTACCTTCCTCTCCTCCTCTTTGTTCTCCTCCTCCTCTCTCTGTCGCTGTTGCTCAGTCCTCTCCTCCTCTTCCCTCTCCTCTTTCTTTCTCGCCATCCTCTCCTCCTCTCTCTGTCTTGTCTTCCTATCCTCCTGTCTCTGCTTCTGCTCCTCTCTCTGTTTTGTCTTCCTCTCCTCCTCTTTCCTGTGCTCCTCTCTCTGTCTCTCTCTCCTCTCCTCCTCTCTCTTTTCCACGCTATATATGTCTCCCAGAGAGGCCTGTGTTGCATGTGTTTTCTCCATATATTGCGTTGCCTCTTCTGTAGGGAAGAACAGGTATTTTCCAGGCATGTCAACATGAGTGGGTTGGATGGGTTGTTGTGAGAAAGAGGGGTTTCTGGTCTTAACGTCGACCTGCGAGGGTATGGAGTGAGCTGGCAGAGGAGGATTCTGGGATTGATAGAGTCTTTGGTTCCTATCAATCTCAGATTGGTACCCAGGTTGGTACCCTGAAGTTGTTGTATGTTCTGGTTGTGGCACAGTGTCGTGTTTAAGAGAGTGTGTATCTGTTGTCTCTGTGAATCCCTCAGTAGATTTTGCCTCATTGAATGAGATTGCCTGTTTGTCTTTTTCCCTCAGTTTGAACATCCCTTTCTTTCTCTGTTCCTGCTCCATGGAAGACAACACTCCTATCTTAGCCTCCATGTTTAGTTTGGAGGGAACCTCTGGTTCTTTCACAGCTACTGCTTCTTTCCTCGACATCCCTCCCGTCACTGGGTGGTCTTGTTGTTCAGTTGTCAAGACTGGACATCTACTGCGGCAAGTCTGTATCATGGGAAAATATCCATCCTTTCTGCTTGGACTGTGCATGTTAGGAGAGGAATCTTCTTCTGTAGAGATCACCTTTAGTCTGGCGTAGTCTGCGATGGCAGTTGGGACAGTAGGCAGCACCTTCTCTCTTGGTTTCACCTCTGGTTTACAATACACTTTTTCACTTGTTGGAAGTGCTGGGTTATGCTCTCTCTCTTTTGCTGTTGTTTCCACATTGTTGTTCTCACTCACTCCTGACACAACACGGATGGCTATACTATCAGTGTGAAGATTATTGTCACCAGTGGGTTTCTCTGCTCCTGAAGAAACATGTTTGGTAGTTTTGTCGTTGTCAATCTCACTTATTAATGATACAACACGGATAGTAATACTTTCTATGTGTAAATTCTCCACTTGGCCATCTTCAATGCTGACGTCTTTGCCACCTTGAACGACACTGCTCTTTGCCATTTCCACTGGTGCAAGGTCGGCCTTGCCGATGGTTTCATTAGTAGGAGGGTTGTTATTTGCGTAGTCGTTAGGGTTTCGTGCAGTGATGCCATGTTTAAAGAGGAGAGGTTGAGTTTCAGCCAACTGTTTATTTTTAGCCGGTTTGACCTCTGCTGAGCGTCCATCTTTAACTGCAGAGGTGTCATGGAGTAGAGTTTCCATCCGAGACTGATCTCTCCCATACGATGGAGGAATCTCCTGTGAATAATTCTCGTTCCTCACAGGCTTCTCATTTTTGGGGGGATCTTTCTTTGTGGTTTCAGGTGCACTTCTAGCCTGCTTACTCTCACTTATAACACATTCAGTTTTAGGTTCACCTTTCCCCTCTGGCAACTGTGTTTGCTGTTTTACTCTGGCCTTTTCTGGAATTACAGGCTCAGCAAATGTAGTGTCTTCTCTTTCGCTTGTTACAGTTGATTTAACATTATTATCTGAAATTCTTTCATCTGCAATGGGAGCCATGGCTGGAGAAGTCTCTTGTTTCAAATGGCCTGAATTGTTGTTGGGAAGTTGGCCTGAGCTGAGTTGATTTTTATTGGAAATAATTGCCTCTTCTTCCCTGTTTATCTTATCTTTTACTGGGGTGGGTTGTTGTGGAGTAAAAACATTCTCTTTATCCACTGAGGGTTCTCTTATGGTCACCATTATCCCCATGATCTGCAAACTGTCATCATCTGAAACTGCCTCACTCTTCCCAAGAACAAGTTTAAGATCATTTTGGTCGTCAGAGATGGCCTCATTTTTACTTTCCTCCTTCTTTGAATGGAGCACTGCCTTTTCAGTTATATCACTGACCTTTGACCTGTTTCTGGCCTGTTCCAGTGATGCTGTTGACTGTTGACCATCACTGACAGCCGATGCTTCAGTTTTAGCTGGCTCTTTATGTTGTGATTGAGGTGCTTCCTTCCTGATACTGAGTTGGCTGTTGATTGTTTGTTTTTCACACCTGGATGGATCATTTTTAACGCTCTTCACTTCCTGTCCACTCTGACCTCTCTCTCTGTGTTCCTGGTGCTTGGTGGGGTTTCTTGATAAGAGTCTGTCTCGTTTACCAAAACCTTTCTCTTTGATGGCTGAGATCTCCTTTTCAGCGTGGGCCTTCAGTTTTGACGTCAGTATCTCTTGCTTGGTCTGGCCTTTCTCTTTTAGTGACAGAGCTCTGAATGAGGATGGATGGACGTCTTTACTCATTGCTGCAGTCTGGTCAGCAGGCTTCGTCTTACTCTCAATCTGACTGGCCAGTTTGAATTGTTTGGATGACTCGCTGTAAACCCATTGACCCTCACTCCCCCGCTCATGTTTATTAGTGGCAAGTGCATCATTCGGAGTCTTTTCACTCTCATCTGTTGCAGCTACATCCTTAGAGGGCTGTTTGTTTTCCTTAGCTGAAACTGCATGACTGAACCCGTATTTCTCTCTCAATCTGTTGTAGTCAACTCCCCCCCTGTCTGCTCTTTCATACCTGCTGATGGGAGAGACATCTTTCTGCTGGAGTGTTTTGTTCTCTGCCTTTGCAGATATGGTGTGATCGGTGAGATTGTCATCTGTTGCTGCAACGGCTTCGTTGACACTGTACTTTTTCTCTCTCCGTTGCTCTCTCTTCACCTGTTCATAGTCTCTGGTAGTGAGGATATTGTTTATACCATATCTGTCCTCACTGGCTGACCATGAACTGTACTGAGCAGGTTCATCATTCTTTGCTTTTGCAAGCTCTGCTTTAGCTAACTCTGCTTTAGCTTGTTCTGTTTTAGCTAACTCTGCTTTAGCTAACTCTGCTTTAACCAACTCTGCTTTAACCAACTCTGCTTTAACCAACTCTGCTTTAGTTAATTCTGCTTTAGCTTGTTCCGCTTGAGTTTGAGCTAACTCTTCTTTATCTTTCTCTACTTTAGCCAACTCTGTTTTTGCTAGTTCTGCTTTCACTTGCTCTGCTTTAGCTTGTTCTGCTTGAGCTTTAGCTGACTGTGCTTTAGCTAGTTTCACTTTAGCAAGCTCTGCTTTTGCTTGTTCTGTTTGAGCTTTTGATAACTCTACTTTAGCTAGTTCTGCTTTACCTTGCTCTGCTTTATTTTGTTCTGCTTTAGCTTTAGGTAACTCAGCTTTAGCTTTCTCTGCTCTAGCGCTCTCTGATTTAGCTTGTTCTGCTTTAGCTAGCTCTGCTTTCACTTGTTCTGCTTTCGCTAGCTCTGCTTTAGCTAACTCAGTTTTAGCTTTCTCTCCTTTTTCTAGTTCTGCTTTAGCTTGCTCTGCTTTAGCTTGTTCAGCTTTAACTAGCTCTGCTTTAGCTAACTCAGTTTTAGCTTTCTCTCCTTTTTCTAGTTCTGCTTTAGCTTGCTCTGCTTTAGCTAGCTCTGCTTTCACTTGTTCTGCTTTAGCTAGTTCTGCTTTAGCTTGCTCTGCTTTAGCTTGTTCTGCTTTAGTTAACTCTGCTTTAGCCTGTTCTGCTTGAGCATTTTCTGCTTTAGATTGTTCTGCTTTAGCTAACTCTGCGTTAGCTAACTCTGCTTTAGCTATTTCTGCTTGAACTTGTTCTGCTTTATCTAGCTCTGCTTTCACTTGCTCTATTTTAGCCTGTTTTGATTTAGCTAACGCTGCTTTATCTTGCTTTAATTTAGCTTGTTCTGCTATAGCTAGCCCTGTTGTGTGCATCTTATTGGGGTCATACGTAGTACTTTTGGGATATTGGTGACTGTTAATTGCACTAAATTCTCCTTTTATCTGTTGCAATATTGTAGCAGTGCTGTCAGTATACTGGCTGTGATCTTTTGCCCATTGTGCTGTTACAGCTGCATTGTCTGTGTATTGTCTGTTCTCATTCTTGTATGATGAATTCCACTGTATATCCTGGTCATATATATATCTTTCGTGTCTGGGTAGTTTGTTGTCGTCCACCCATGGGGCATGTGGTTTTCTCTGAACAGGTTGCTCTCTTTCTGTCAGGGTGTTATGGACTGAATATGTTTTATCACCCTCCGAATACAGACTCTGTTTTCTGTGGTCTTGTCCTTTACCCCTGTACAAGTGATCATTTTGGTTCTGATACTTCTCTTTGGTGGTGAGAGATTCCTCATTGACTCGATACTGATCTACAGTTCCATACTTGTCCATAAAAGTCCCAGAATAGTATTTTTCTTTTACAGGGTCTCTGATGATCTGCTGACTCAGAGGGTAGTCTGTGTTTTGAGCGAATCTGTTTGACAGTTCCTCCTGATTGGCCAGTGTGTGATCAGGAACTGGAAGCGTTTCCTTATATGGAAGGCTATTTTTACCTATTAAGACTTCACCTGCTGGATGCACCCTTCCATCAGATACATACTGCTCCCCCTGTTCTCTCTTTTCTTGTTGTCCATATATATTCCACTCATTTCCATATTTCTGGTTTGGGTCCTGCTTCATTGTAGCTGCTCTGTGTGAGGGTAGAGACTGTTTGTCTTTTTCTATTAGTGCAGCGATCTCCCCTTTCCATGGAGGCACGTCTGTTGTAACTCTGTCATTCACACCCAACCCATATTTGTTCTCTCTCACTTGGTCATATCCACATGCCTTTGTGTATCTCTCTACTGTAGCCTGGTTTGTATTGGGCTCAATAATTTGTTTAGATACTAGTGCATCTCTGTTTACAGTGTTGGTTTGTTTTGCAGTGATTCCATCTCTCCTATAAGTGTCTATGACTGCCGGGGGTGGGTTAGGGGTACAATTAGGGCTAGGGTAAGGTTTGGGCTTAGTGTTAGGGAGGGGTGATCTCACTGTAGGAAGGGTGTTGTCTAGGCCTGGTTTTGTGGGTCTGACTTGCTCATACATATGATTTTGGAGGAGCTCAGTCCTATTTATTTCATCTGGTTTAATAAATTGTGTTAACCCACCTTGGCTGTTCTGACTGGTAGTGAGCTGATCTCTACTACTGTAGTTTCCACTGTACTCCTGATGGTAAACCATCTCCTCCTGAGTCTGAGACGACCTCACTGCCTGATAGGCCTCTGGTTTACTAGTGTCTGTGTAGTCCAAGTGTTGGGAAGAGTGTGCAGTGGTTGGCTGCAATGAGGGGCTATACTGTGGGTTGGTATGGGGGTGAAATGAAGTGTCTACTGCATTGGGCTCCTCCTGTACTACCTCCTGGGGAACAGGGATGTCTAAGATAGCTGGCATATCTATCACTGTGTCTCTGGGCTCATAGCCGTCCAGGTTAGATTTACTCCTGCCAGTCACTTCCAGGCCTTTGAACTTGGTGGGACTGTAGGTGCTTTTCACCCTCTTCCTATTGTCTTTCAGGTTGAAGAGGAGACCGGAGGCTCTGGACTTGTAGCTGGACATCCTCACCTCTGGTGTGGCCCCCCTTCTCTCCCTCTCTCTCTCGCCCCAGATGGGGGGCTGTTCGAGGGTGAGGGGGGGTGAGAGGGCGTACTCTAGCACCTCTGAGGTGGTGTCAGTGTCTTGAGGATTGTGGATGACAGGTGTCAACAGCTGGGTGAAGTTAAAGGGAGTGGTGCTGGTGTTGCTAGCGACTACACCCTGCTCCACTGCTACTGTGCTAACTTTGTTGCTACAGGAAATTACACTGTTCTTGTTGCCTTTCACTACACTACTCTGCTCGGCGCTGTTTAGGACCGTTGTAACACTCTGCTCTGTGGTCAATTTGGTAAACCGCTCGGTGTGCTGGAACTCAGTGACGGCGCTGACAGCATCTTGGCCAAGTCGGGACCTGGTAGGAGAGACTGTTGAGGGACGGAGTGAGGGATATCTGTTTGACCCCACGCTCTGGGTGCGTTTCCAGGGTGGATAGTGACCGGCCAGCTCAGACTCAGAGCGTTTCTCTAGGGCCGAGGCCTTCTGCAGCACTGTGGAGCCCCCCTCCATGGGCTTACGTTGGGGTCCATACACTGTCTCCTTGATCCCAGGGGGCGTGTAGAACTGCTGTTCGAATGTCAGCTCCTTGTACATGGGCGAGTCGTACCATTTAGGGAAGTCTGCAGGGGACATGAACCCGGAGACACCTCCCTGCTGGAAGGGGAATCTGTTATGGTCTCTCCACAGGGGCTGGAAGGGGCTGAACTCACTATGGAGAAAGAAGTTAGAGGTTGAGTTGAGCTGCGCAAACATGCTTTGTTTACTGTGGGAGGATCTCATAAAGGAGGATGTTTTGTCCATCTGAGACACAGCAGAAGATACATCAGAGGGGTACAGGCTGTTCCTACTGGGGGGTAAGGGGCCTGTCTGCCTGGGGAAGGCGCCGGCCGCGGGGAAGGGGCCAGTGTTAAAGTTATGGGGGTACGCCGTAGAGAACTCAGACAGCTCTCTCTGGATGCTCATCAGAGCTGACTTGTCCCAGGAGGACTCATTGTTCCAGTCCCTGAGTTTCCCCTCCATCCACCCATCCCCACCTCCATAACCCTCCGAGCTAAAGGCTTTGATGAGAGAGGAGACTCGGGAGCGACTGCGACGCTGCTGCCAGCTGGTGTCGGACCCTCCATAACTCAGGAAGGACAGTCTCTCCTCCCTCAGAGTCTTCTCCTGCTGAGACACGTCCATGAAGGAGCGCTGGAATGTGGTAGACACCCTTCCCTCTGTCCTCCTCTCCCCTTGCCCCTCCCACCCCGAATAATCCTGGTTCTCTAAACCACACTGTCCCGTCCACATCCTCCCCTCCCCCTCCCAACCCGCCTCACCCCCTCCCTGTCCATACTGCTGGAGACTGAGGCTGAAGCTCTCTTGGGCGGCTCTCTTGAGAGCATCCCTTTCCCTGTCCTCCTTCTCCCAGCCCTGGCTGTCCTGGGCAGCTATAATCTCTTGGCTGAAGGCCTGGTGTCTCTCTCTCTGAGCTGACGGTGAGGAGCCCAGGTCAGAGTCGTTGTAAACAGCTTCTTCCCCGATGCAGAGGCTCCTGAAGGATCGGTCAGTCAGGCTGCTGACCTCACGGTCTGTGTCGTCCAGGATCGAGCCTCCACTGGATGTGTCGCTCATGCCGCCGCTGCTGTGCTTCCTGTGGCCGCTGCCCCTGCGGCTGAAGTGGCGCTTCTCCACCGTCGTCATGGGTAAAGCTCAATCACACACCTCACACACACACTCACACTCACTCAGACACAGCTCATGTCTAGTGCTCAGTCACACACCCAGGCAGCAGTGTTTAGCTGGGGCTGGGTTAGGACACCTCAGAGGGGCCCAATCAGTCTCTATGGAGGGCTGCAGCCCCAAAGGCGTGGTTGTATTCCTGGTGGCCCCTAAGGCGTATTGCATTTGTGTAGCAGAAGGAGCCACGACTTCCTGTGTGTCCTGCAGGAAGAGAATAGACGAGAGAACAGAGTTAAAAGTGGAAAAGGCCTAAAATTCTTCTGCACTTTAGCCTAAATATATAGAATGAATGTCTGACTGTGTCTTCACGACCATCAGACCTTTTCTTTGTTGCCCTAAAAGGGAACATACCCTAAATCCGTAAACATGGGCACCCTCATAGATATCATCCTGACTAACTTACCCTCTAAATACACCTCCGCTGTCTTCAACCAGGATCTCAGCGATCACTGCCTTATTGCCTGCATCCGTAACGGGTCCGCGGTCAAACGACCACCCCTCATCACTGTCAAACACTCCCTAAAACATTTTAGCGAGCAGGCCTTCCTAATTGACCTGGCCCAGGTATCCTGGATGGATATCGATCTCATTCCGTCAGTAGAGGATGCCTGGTTGTTCTTTAAAAGTAATTTCCTCTCAATCTTAAATAAACATGCCCCATTCAAAAAATACAGAACTAAGAACAGATATAGCCCCTGGTTCTCCTCAGACTTGACTGCCCTTGACCAGCACAAAAATCCTGTGGCGTACTGCATTAGCATCGAATAGCCCCCGCGATATGCAACTTTTCAGGGAAGTTAGGAACCAATATACACAAGCAGTTAGGAAAGCAAAGGCTAGCTTTTTCAAACAGAAATTTGCACCCTCCGCTGCAACTTGCCCATGCCCCCCCCCCCCCCCCCCCCCCCCCCCGCTTCTCCTTCACACAAATTCAGACAGCTGATGTTCTGAAAGAGCTGCAAAATCTGGACCCCTACAAATCATCTGGGATAGACAATCTGGACCCTTTCTTTCTGAAATTAGCCGCCGAAATTGTCGCAACCTCTATTACTAGCCTGTTCAACCTCTCTTTCGTAATGTCTGAGATCCCCAGAGATTGGAAAGCTGCCGCGGTCATCCCCCTCTTCAATGGGGGTGACACTCTAGATCCAAACTGTTACAGACCTATATCCATCCTGCCCTGCCTTTCGAATGTTTTTGAAAGCCAAGTTAACAAACAGATCACCGACCATTTCGAATCCCAACGTACCTTCTCCGCTATGCAATCCGGTTTCCGAGCTGGTCATGGGTGCACCTCAGCCACGCTCAAGGTCATAAACGATATTATAACCGCGATCGATAATAGACAGTACTGTGCAGCCGTCTTCATCGACCTGGCCAAGGCTTTTGACTCTGTCAACCACCGCATTCTTATTGGCAGACTAAATAGCTTTGGTTTCTCAAATGACTGCCTCGCCTGGTTCACCAACTACTTCTCAGATAGAGTTCAATGTGTCAAAACGGAGGGCCTGTTGTCTGGACCTATGGCAGTCTGTATGGGGGTACCACAGGGTTCAATTCTTCGGCCGACTCTTTTCTCCGTGTATATCAATGATGTCGCTCTTGCTGCTGGTGACTCTCAGATCCACCTCTACGCAGACGACACCATTTTGTATACATCTGGCCCTTCATTGGACACTGTGTTAACAAACCTCCAAACGAGCTTCAATGCCATACAACACTCCTTCAGTAGCCTCCAACTGCTCTTAAACACTAGTGAAACTAAATGCATGCTCTTCAATCGAACGCTGCTGGCACCCGCCCACCCGACTAGAATCACTACTCTCAACGGGTCTGACCTAGAGTATGTGGACAACTACAAATACCTAGGTGTCTGGTTAGACTGTAAACTCTCCTTCCAGAATCACATTAAGCATCTCCAATCCAAAGTTAAATCTAGAATCGGCTTCCTATTTCGCAAAGCCTCCTTCACTCATGCTGCCAAACATGCCCTCGTAAAACTGACTATCCTACCGATCCTTGACTTCGGCGATGTCATTTACAAAATAGCCTCCAACACTCTACTCAGCATTTTGGATGTAGTCTATCACAGTGCCATCCGTTTTGTCACCAAAGCCCCATATACTACCCATCACTGTGACCTACATTTACATTTACATTTTAGTCATTTAGCAGACGCTCTTATCCAGAGCGACTTACAGTTAGCGAATAGATCTTTTTTTTATACTGGCCCCCCGTGGGAATCAAACCCACAACCCTGGCGTTGCAAACGCCATGCTCTATCAACTGAGCTACATCCCTGCCGGCCATTCCCTCCCCTACCCTGGACGACGCTGGGCCAATTGTGCGCCGCCCCATGGGTCTCCCGGTCGCGGCCGGCTGCGACAGAGCCTGGATTCGAACCAGGATCTCTGGTGGCACAGTTAACACTGCGATGCAGTGCCTTAGACCACTGCGCCACTCGGGAGACCTGTATGCTCTTGTTGGCTGGTCCTCACTACATATTCGTCGCCAAACCCACTGGCTCCAGGCCATCTATAAATCACTGCTAGGCAAATCCCCGCCTTATCTTGGCTCATTGGTCACCATAGTAACACCCATCCGTAGTATGCGCTCCAGCAGGTATATCTCACTGGTCATCCCCAAAGCCAACAGCTCCTTTGGCCGCCATTCCTTCCAGTTCTCTGCTGCCAATGACTGGAACGAATTGCAAAAATCTCTGAAGCTGGAGACTCTTATCTCCCTCACCAACTTTAAGCATCAGTTGTCAGAGCACCTTACCGATCACTGCACCTGTACACAGCCCATCTGAAATTAGCCCACCCAACTACCTCATCCCCATATTGTTATTTATTTTGCTCATTTGCACCCCAGTATCTCTATTTGCACATCATCTCTTGCACATCTATCATTCCAGTGTTAATAATAATTGTAATTATTTTGCACTATGGCCTATTTATTGCCTTACCTCCATAACTTGCTACATTTGCACACACTGTATATATATTTTCTGTTGTATTTTTTACTTTATGTTTTGTTTTACCCCATATGTAACTCTGTCATGTTGTTTTTATTGCACTGCTTTTGCTTTATCTTGGCCAGGTCACATTTGTAAATGAGAACTTGTTCTCAACTGACTTACCTGGTTAATAAAGGTGAGAAAAAAAATGAATATATATATATATATAACTTTATATCAAGCTACTAGAAAGTACAAGAGGATACTGGTGGTTGTTTAGCATTTGAACAAGAGCTGTATTTAATTAAATCGATTTTCTGTGAATTAAGCAGCAATGTTCTGTATGTGTTGGAAAAATTGTGTAGCTGTTCCGCACTCAAAAAGGAGATTCATGGTTTCTTTTTAGTATTTATTTAATTCAGGGGTAGATAGATAGACAAATGTTTCGGCCTAAGCCTTGATCAGTGTCGTGAAAGCCATATGAAAATTAAGCTCTTTGGCGTTGAAAGAAAGATGCATATGCAGAAAATAACCCCCAAAACGACTGTAAAATATGGTGGTGGATCTTTGTTTTTTTGGGGCTATTTTGCTTCCACTGGTCCTTGGGCCCTTGTTAAGCTCAACGGCATTATGAACTTTACCCAGTACCAGGACATTTTAGCCAAAAACCTGGTTGCCTTTGCCAGAGGGCTGAAACGTGGCCGCAAGTGGATCTTCCAGCAAGACAATAAGCCCAAGCCCACATCAAAAGCCACAAAGAAATTGTTAATTGACCACAAAATCAACATTTTGCAATGGCCATCTCAGTCTCCGGACTTGAACCCCATTGAAAACCTGTGGTTTGAATTGAAGAGGGCAAATGAAGGATATCAAGGATCTGGAAGATCCCTCCCAATGTGTTCTCCAATCTCATAAAACATTTTAGAAAAAGGCTCAGTGCCCTTATCCTTGCAAGGTGAGGTATTGAAAGGTATTGCAAATGGAAGCCAATAGTTTTGACCCCTATCTTTAAAAAATAAAAAAAAAGTTTTTTTGCATACAATGTACACTAAATGACCAAAAGTATGTGGACACCTGCTCATCGAACATCTCATTCCAAAATCATTGGCATTAATATGGAGTTGGTCCCCCCTTTGCTTCTATAACAGCCTCCACTCTTCTGGAAAGGTTTCCACTAGATGTTGGAACATTGCTGCAGGGAATTGCTTCCATTCAGCCACAAGAGCATTAGTGAGGTTGGGCATTAATGTTGGGCGATTAGGCCTGGCTCGCAGTCGACGTTCCAATTCATCCCAAAGGTGTTCGATGGGGTTGAGGTCAGGGCTCTGTGCAGGCCAGTCAAGCTCTTCCACACCGATCTCAACAAATCATTTCTGTATAGACCTCACTTTGTGCGCGGGGGCATTGTAATGCTGAAACAGGAAAGGGCTTTCCACAAACTGTTGCCACAAAGTTTGAAGCACAGAATTGTCTAGAATATCATTGTATGCTGTAGCGTTAAGATTTCCCTTCACTGGAACTAAGGGGACTAGCCCGAACCATGAAAAACAGCCCCTACCACTTTGCGGCTGAGCCGTTGTTGCTCCTAGACATTTCCATCTTCACAATTACAGCACTTACAGTTGACTGGGGCAGCTCTATCAGGGCCGAAATCTGACGAACTGACTTGTTGGAAATGTGACATCCTATGACGGTGCCACGTTGAAAGTCACTGAGCTCTTCAATAAGGCCATTTTACTGACAATGTTTGTCTATGGAGATTGCATGGCTCTGTGCTCGTGTTTATACACCTGTCAGCAATGGGTGTGGCTGAAACAGACTGCTGCTTGCTCAAGGATTATACAACAGAATTGTACCTGAGGCAGTCAAACTTCAGCTCTCAGAACTGAAAAGAAGACATTAAATGGAAAATATGTTCTAGACGACGAAAACAATCACCTGATCTGATGCAAATCAGTCAAAATCCTTTCCTTTTCATTACCCACAATTCCCATCAATGAATAACATATCCTGTGTCTCTAAAGAATAACTGAGATCTGAAAATTGTTAAAGTTGCTAACAGCGCTACGGTATTGTGCACATTCCCTTGGGAACTTAAAGGAATGTTACACTAAAAATGTTGGTTTGGGATATTTAGTTCGCTTATTGAATTACTTAATAGCCATATTTTGTTGAGTTAGAATTGCATATAAAAGTACCATTCACCCTGAAAATATAAGATAGCTTGCAAACACCTCAATCCAACTCATATTGTACAAAAGTATTTTGAGTGGAATATCCCTTTAAGCCTGATACAGAATTGAAACGCTTTATGAAAGGATACAACACCAGAAATCAGTATTTGCTGTGTGTTAACTTGCATAGCAGTGCAATACAGTAATGAAGCAGTGTTAAACGGGGTAATCACTGAGGAGTGTAATACAGGGTGATCATCATGGGTGTTTAATTTTACTGCAGCTGCCAGGCAGTCGTCACCCGGCCCAGAATATCTACTGGGCCATTAATACCTCCTGACCTGACTGGGAGTATCAGACAGCACTCATTACATACCAGATACGCTACAGTAACTAGATGCAGACCACACCACACAGATCTAATACTATAGAATATCTACTGTACATTAGTACTCCTGACCCGGGGAACAACACATTCTGTCATCAGATATATGCTAGAATGGATTAAATAGATTAAATCAAACAAGCCACTATATGTCAGCTAAATGTACAAACAGAAACTCTTCCATAGGTATTAGAATCCAAATTAACCATAATGTAGATTTTGATTGCACTGACCTAGGATTCACAGAAAAGCTGCATTCAGTATCGCTGAATATTCATCGTACATCCATCATACCTGCCCAGTCTTAAAATACACTACACAGTGGGGAGAACGAGTATTTGATACACTGCCGATTTTGCAAGTTTTCCTACTTACAAAGCATGTAGAGGTCTGTAATTTTTATCATAGGTACACTTCAACTGTGAGAGACGGAATCTAAAACAAAAATCCAGAAAATCACATTGTATGATTTTTAAGTAATTAATTTGCATTTTATTGCATGACATAAGTATTTGATCACCTACCAACCAGTAAGAATTCAGGCTCTCTATTCTGTACTTTCAACTTTGTGGCAACAGTTTGTGGAATGTCCATACAGAAATGGTTTGTCGAGATCGGTGTGGAAGAACTTAACTGGCCTGCACAGAGCCCTGACCTCAACCCCATCGAACACCTTTGGGATGAATTGGAACTCCGACTGCGAGCCAGGCCACAGCATTTTTCCAACATCTATTGGAAAGCCTTCCCAGAAGAATGGAGGCTGTTATGGTAGCAAAGGGGGACCAACTCCATATTAATGCCCATGATTTTGGAAAGATGTTCGACGAGCAGGTGTCCACATACTTTTGGTCATGTAGTGTCCTTCATTAAACTTAGAGATTGTCTCTAGTCCTAGCTCCACAGTCTCTGATACCACTGGGCCTCCCTTAAAATGGCTGGTGGTCATTTACAGTTACACCTTACAGCTACTGAACCCAGCAGTATATAACAGAAACCATTAGTGTACTTTTGGCCATGTTCATAGGTTTCAATTGCAGTCAGTCCAATGCAGTGAAAGACTGTGCAGCAACAGCTATTTTCAGTGAATGTGTCAACCATGCAGTACCCATGGGAGATGAGTGCACATGCATTCCTTCATACAGTATCTATCTACCCCTGTTCATGACCAAAGATAACACAAAGCAGTGGGTGGAAAGAAACCGGCGTACTGTCTTACCTTCTGCTGCTGTATTCCATATTTGTGTAGTGATCTTTTAGTAAATCCTCAAACACAAGTCTGTCCTGCGGGAGAGCCTTGGCATGGTGCACCAAGCCAGCAGCTGCAGAAAGACAGGCCCTTTGTTGCCCTAACAGAGCCCTCTCAGACAGCACACTGACCGCTCTGTGCCTCTCTACTTAACATGCTGCTCTAACCCAGTCCTCCATCCATACAGTACTCTCTCAGGCCTCGGAGTGCCTGGTCAGATGCTTGGTTAGACGAAGGGTCTGAAGATCAGGCGGAGGAAGACGAGCCGTCCAGGAGAAAGCTAGTGTTGTAGGCTGGGGACGGTTACCAGGGCCTTCAGCTAGTACACGTAGCCAGCTATCTGACAGACGGTCGGTGTCGAGTGTCAGACAGATGAAACAAACAGGCCCCTCAAACTATTTATAAATCTGGTCCGCTAATGCTAACGGCTAGTTGCTAACAGCACCTCTGAAGAACATAAAACATAGAATAAAAACATGGGACTAGAGTTAGAAGAGAAAACCCTCCAGATCTGTTGTTGTGGTAATGGTCTGGGGGGGCTTGGGCACATGTGCCCCCTTGGGAAACAGAAATAGCCTGTTGAGCTCACCCTTTTCATATGGCTACAGAGAGAAGAGCTACAGCGTTGTTGTTGTGGCGGTGTAAGAGGTGGAGCTGCTTTAGAGCTGTCAAATCCACAAGCGGCTCCTTGCGTTACCTTATCGCGGACACTGCCAACGGATGCAACGAAACCACACACAACTTTATGTCTGACAAATCCCATGCAGCCGCGTTAGAAGTTCATGCAGCCGTGTAACAAGTTCAAACACTCGAATGCGTGATGTTCTGTTGTCTACACCTATATTAGACTGATAGCCTATCCCCATCCAAATTAACATGGAAAAATGCATAAACCTACACTTTCTATCACCGTTTTGAACTTCTAACGGGTAGGGATAATAGGAATGGAGTGTTTTTTGACACACAAGAGCAGCCGCTGACCGATTTGTCAGCTCATACCACAGTTACACCTCCAACACCGCCAAAACATCCTCTATGTAGGCCAACACGGTTAAACGGTCGATCTGATTGAATCAAGGCCTTACAACAGTTGTTGCATTCAGGAGAATTCAGAGAGAGATAGATTATTTCATAATACTCATTGCTCTCCCTGGTGGCAGCATCTGGCTGTTCCCAGTCAGGGTTGTGAGGAAGAACTGGAGGAACTATACTGAACAAAAATATAAACAATTTCAAAGATTTTACTGAGTTACAGTTCATATAAGGCAATCAGTCAATTGAAATAAATTCATTAGGCCCTAATCTATAGATTTCACATGACTGGGAATACAGATATGCATCTGTTGGTCACAGATACCTTTAAAAAAAGGTAGGGGCGTGGATCAGAAAACCAGTCAGTATCAGGTGTGACCACCATTTGCCTCACGCAGCGCGACACATGTCCATCGCATAGAGTTGATCAGGCTGTTGATTGTGGCTTGTGGAATGTTGTCCCACTCCTCTTCAATGGTTGTGCAAAGTTGCTGTTGGCCTGGAACACGCTGTCGTACACGTCGATCCAGAGCATCCCAAACATGCTCAATGGGTGAAACATCTGTGAGTATGCAGGCCATGGAAGAACTGGGACATTTTCAGCTTCCAGAAATTGTGTTGTATGAAAAAAATGCAAATTGTAAAGTGGCCTTTTATTGTCCCCAGCACAAGGTGCACCTTTGTAATGATCATGCTGTTTAATCAGATTCTTGATATGCCTCACCTGTCTTGGCAAAGGATAAATGCTCACTAACAGGGATGTAAACACATTTGTGAACAAATTTGAGAGAAATAAGCTTTTTTTGCATATGGAAACATGAGACCAAAACTTTACATGTTGCATTTATACTTATGTTCAGTGTAAATTAATTTGAGGTCTTTTATAGATTCCATCCCTGCAGACTCTCACTGAGGTAAAGGCCAGAAGGCAGAGGAGGGGGAGAGCGGAGGTGTGGGAGGTGTCATACTGCCTAACACCCTTACGCCCAATCCTCCCCCCTCCCTTTTCCCCCTTCCTCCCCTTCCCTACTACCGCAACGTTAAGAGGAGTCCTCTCCACTACATTTGCTCTCCCCCCTCTCATGTCTTCCTACCGCCCCTCTGCCTTCCCCTGCAGTCCACATCTATAATAGGAAATAGGCCTTCTCCCAGGGCTGGCCTGTCTGGGTGATGGACACACACACATGGGCTTTAATGGAAACACACACACACACACACACACAGCCTGTTACTATGCCTCAGGAAAGGCAAAGAGGTCCTCCCTCTCAACCCCCCCTCCCTGTTACTATGCCTCAGGAAAGGCAGAGGTCCTCCCTCTCAACCCCCCTCCCTCTTACCCACCTCTCACCCACTTCCCCTTCACCTTCACCCCCTCCCTCCATACCAACCTGGTCTCAGAGCATTTAATATTATTCTGTACATAAATCTGAGACACTACATTTAGTATGATATGTTACGTTTTGTATTGGTATGTAAATCACGTAACGAAACTAAACAAAAAGAAGAAGAAACTATACTATGGAACAAAGATCAATTATATAAAAAATTATAGTAAAAAGCTCTGGAGTACTTTAAATGAAATTCTAGGCAAAAAAGCAAACTCGGCTCCATCCTTCATTGAGGCAGATGGCTTGTTCATAACAAAACCCTTTGATACTGCCAACCACTTTAATAACTTTCTTGTTGATAAGATTAGCAAACTTAGGCATGACATGCAAACAACAAATGCTGAGCCTTTATATTCATGCATAATAGACCAAACAATGAAACACAAGCGCTGTAGTTTTGAGTTCCACAAAGTGGGTGTGGAAGAGCTGGATTTTTAAAACATATCTATAAATAAGGACAAACCACCTGGTACCGACAACCTGGATGGTAAATTGCTGAGGTTGGTAGCGGAATACATTGTGACTCCTGTTTGCCACATCTTCCATTTAAGCTTAGAAGACAGTGTGGGAGGCAAAGGTCATTCCACTACCCAAGAATAGCAGAGCACCCTTTAATGGTTTAAACATCCGACCAATCAGCCTGTTACAAGTGTTTAGCAAACTTTTGGAAATAAATGTGTTTGATCAAATACAAAGTTATTTTACAGAAAACAAATTACCAACATACTTTCAGCATGCTTATAGGGAAGGGCACTCAACATGCTCAGCACTGACACAAATGACTGATGATTGGCTGAAAGAAATTGATAATAAGAAGATTGTGGGAGCTGTTTTGTTAGACTTCAGTGCAGTTTTTGATGTCATTGATCATAACCTATTGCTGAAAAAACGTAGCTGTTATGGATTTGCATCCTCTGCCTTTTTATGGATTGAGAGTTAACTATCTAAGAGAACACAGACGGTTTTCGTTTATGGAAGCCTCTCTCATGCAAATTCAGTTGAGTGTGGTGTACCGCAAGGCGCCAATATTTTTAGTTTTTACTAATGACCTTCCACTGACCTTGAATAAAGCCTGTGTGTCTGTACGCTGACAACTCAACAGTATACACATCGGCTATAACAGTAAAATAAATAACTGACACCCTTAACATAGAGCTCCAGTCAGTTTTAGAATGGGTAACTAGCAATAGGCTGGTGCTAAATATCTAAAAAACTAAAAGCATCATTTTTGGGACAAATCACTCGCTCAACGCTAAACCTCATTTAGATCTATTATTGAATAATGTGGCGATTCAGCAAGTTGAGGAGACTAAACTGCTGGGTGTAACCCTAGATAGCAAGCTGTCATGGTCAAAACATATAGACTCAATGGTTGCTAAAATGGGAAGAGGTCTGTCCACGATAGGGCGTTGCTCTACCTTCTTGACATCTCAGTCGACCAGACAGGTCCTACAGGCCCTAGTTTTTTGCGCCTGGACTACTGCCCAGTTGTGTAGTCATGTGCGGCAAAGAGGGACATAGGTAAATTGCAGTTAGCCCAGAACAAAGCAGCACATATTGCACTTACATGTACACGGAGTGCAAGTATAAGTAACATGCATGTCAATCTCTCCTGGCTCACTATTGGTCTTTGTGTGAGGTATTGATGTGTTGAAGGTACCGGAATGTCTGTTCAAGCAGTTGGCACACAAGACATGCAACCAGCGGTCTCTTCACAGTCCCCAGGTCCAGAACAGAGGCTGGGAAACGCACAGTATTAAATAGAGCCATGATTACATGGAACTCTCTGCCACCCCAGGTAAATCAAGCTAGCAATAAAACCAGAGTAAAAAAACAGATAAAATAACACCTTACTGCACAACTGGGACTGTGAAGAGACACAGCCATTTTATTTATCTTGTATTGTAATTTGCACTGTATTATGTATTAGATCTAGATGTTGTGTGTATGTAATGATATGTAGGCTATGTGTGACGTTTGAAATGTATGTAGTTCAGTCCTTGACTAATAATGTTCTGTAATATGTATTATGCCATGTTTCATGTGGACCCCTGCTTTTGCAGCGGCTAATGGAGATCCTAATAAATACCAATACCAATGTATTAATTTGTGGATGTCCATCACCCATTTCATATGATATGTTTCAAATTAAAATTCGTACTATACTGTATGTTACGAATTTGCTAAACGTACAACATGTTACGAATTTGCGAAATGTATGATATGTTATGAATTCTAGCTAGGTAGCTAGGTGGCTAAAATTAGCTAGCTGGCTAATGTTAGCTAGGCTAGGGGTTAGGGTTAAGGTTAGGATTAAGGTTTGGGAAAGGGGAAGGGTTAGCTAAAAGGGTTAAGGTTAGGGTTAGGGGAAGGGTTATCTAACATGCTAAGTAGTTGCAAAGTAGCTAAAAAGTAGTAAGTAGTTGGAAAAAGTTGCTAATTAGCTAAAATGATAAAGTTGTCCGTGATGACATTCGAACTTGAAACCTTTGGGTTGTTAGACGTTTGCGTTATATGCCCACTTATCCACATTGACCAACCACCCTACTTTCGTTTTTGCATTAAGTCACCATCTGTCTTATGTAACCATACCAAATGTAACATATCACACTAATTTGAGTGTCTCGGATTTACCTTTACTACAGTGAGGGAAAAAAGTATTTGATCCCCTGCTGATTTTGTACATTTGCCCACTGACAAAGAAATGATTAGTCTATAATTTTAATGGTAGGTTTATTTGAACAGTGAGAGACAGAATAACAACAAAATAATCCAGAAAAACGCATGTCAAAAATGTTATAAATTGATTTGCATTTTAATGAGGGAAATAAATATTTGACCCCTCTGCAAAACATGACTTAGTACTTGGTGGCAAAACCCTTGTTGGCAACCACAGAGGTCAGACGTTTATTGTAGTTGGCCACCAGGTTTGCACACATCTCAGGAGGGATTTTATTTGACGCCTTATTTGACGCCTTCTTCACAACAATTGAACCTCTCTCCTTGAAGTTCTTGATGATCCGATAAATTGTTGATTTAGGTACAATCTTACTAGCAGCAATATCCTTGCCTGTGAAGCCCTTTTAGTGCAAAGCAATGATGAGGGCACGTGTTTCCTTGCAGGTAACCATGGTTAACAGAGAAAGAACAATGATTTCAAGCACCACCCTCCTTTTAAAGCTTCCAGTCTGTTATTCTAACTCAATCAGCATGACAGAGTGATCTCCAGCCTTGTCCTCATCAACACTCTGTGTTAACGAGAGAATCACTGACATGATGGCAGCTGGTCCTTTTGTGGCAGAGCTGAAATGCAGTGGAAATGTTTTTTGGGGATTAAGTTCATTTTCATGGCAAAGAGGGACTATGCAATTAATTGCAATTCATTTGATCACTCTTCATGACATTCTGGAGTATATGCACATTTTCATCATCAAAACTGAGGCAGCAGACTTTGTCAAAATTAGTATTTGTGTCATTCTCAAAACTTTTGACCACGACTGTACAGAGAATTCATTCTAGATGAGTATGACATTCTGGCATTTAAAGCATACTTCATTTTTGAAATGTCACATACTATAAAACATTCTATTTTCGCATACCTATAAAGCCTACTACAAAAGAACGCAAGTACGTGTATTCGGATACGCCCACTGGTAAGACTGTGGGACACCTATATATCCTCTTCTGACTGTGGGTGGAATCTCGTTGATCACTCTAATCTGCAGCATACCCTTAAACAACCTACAACCATTATCTAAGAGCTGTGTCTAAAAAAAATACATGATTTCCTTCTTGAAAGGGTAGATTCATTCATGAATAGTATGTACAGTGGGGGAAAAAAGTATTTAGTCAGCCACCAATTGTGCAAGTTCTCCCACTTAAAAAGATGAGAGAGGCCTGTCATTTTCATCATAGGTACACGTCAACTATGACAGACAAAATGAGAAAAAAATCCAGAAAATATGACCATATGACATTCTCCCAATCCTCTTCTGGATCATCCAAATGCACTCTAGCAAACTTCAGACAGGCCTGGACATGTACTGGCTTAAGCAGGGGGACACGTCTGGCACTGCAGGATTTGAGTCCCTGGCGGCGTAGTGTGTTACTGATGGTAGGCTTTGTTACTTTGGTCCCAGCTCTCTGCAGGTCATTCACTAGGTCCCCCCGTGTGGTTCTGGGATTTTTGCTCACCGTTCTTGTGATCATTTTGACCCCACGGGGTGAGATCTTGCTTGGAGCCCCAGATCGAGGGAGATTATCAGTGGTCTTGTATGTCTTCCATTTCCTAATAATTGCTCCCACAGTTGATTTCTTCAAACCAAGCTGCTTACCTATTGCAGATTCAGTCTTCCCAGCCTGGTGCAGGTCTACAATTTTGTTTCTGGTGTCCTTTGACAGCTCTTTGGTCTTGGCTATTGTGGAGTTTGGAGTGTGACTGTTTGAGGTTGTGGACAGGTGTCTTTTATACTGATAACAAGTTCAAACAGGTGCCATTAATACAGGTAACGAGTGGAGGACAGAGGAGCCTCTTAAAGAAGAAGTTACAGGTCTGTGAGAGCCAGAAATCTTGCTTGTTTGTAGGTGACCAAATACGTATTTTCCACCATAATTTGCAAATAAATTCATTAAAAATCCTACAATGTGATTTTCTGGATTTTCTTTTTTCTCATTTTGTCTGTCACAGTTGACGTGTACCTATGATGAAAATGACAGGCCTCTCTCATCTTTTTAAGTGGGAGAACTTGCACAATTGGTGGATACCTAAATACTTTTTTCCCCCACTGTAAATACAGTACATGATTAAAATGTCCTGATGTGGTACCGTAGCAACTCATGCTAATCACTGAGGGTGATCAAGAGGTTTAACCTTCTCACATCTTCTAAAGAAAAAGACATGGACTGAGACCCTCCTCGCTAGTTCCTCCTCCTCCTCCCTCCCTCCCTCCTACTCCCCTCCCCCACTCTGCCCCATGTCTTAGAGGCAGGACTGG